CAGTTCGGCGAGCTAGGAAGATCCATATATACTTTCCTATATGGGAAACCAATATTTCGAGGTGTTACATAATTTTTGGCCCAATCAAACTTATAATACCCCCAACACATAGTGTTGTAGGGTATAAAAACAAAAAAAATTCCGAAAACTACCACTTAAATGGAATCCGTTATGTGGGGACTATACGAAGGCGTGGACCTGCATACGAAATTTTTCGTCATAGGCTGTAGTACCTAATATGAACTGTTAATAGGAAATTTGTTACTTTTACGGTGAATTATGTCGCAAAAATCATGAAAATACCGAGTTTCGGGAGGTATCGTTGTATAAGGGCTATACGAAGACGCAGACCTGCATACGACATTTTTTGCCTTAGGTTGTAGTACCCATAAAGATCTTCCAATACGAAATTTGAAACGATTCCGGTGAATATTGTTGCTGTAATCATCAAAATACCGTCTATCGCAAGGTACCGTTATATGGGGGCTAAATGAAGACGTCATAGGCTGTAGTACCCATTACGAACTTTGGATAGAAATTTCGAAATAATTCCAGTAAATAAAATCATAAAAATACTGAATATTGGGTGGTACCGTTATATGGGAGGTATGGGACGTGCATACGATTTTTTTTTGCCATAGGTTGTAGTACCCATTAAGATCTTCCAATACGAAATTTGAATTGTTTCGGTGAATAATGTTGCTGTAATCATACAAATACCGACTATCGGGCAATACGAAGACGTGGACCTGCATACAAAAATTTTTGTCATAGGCTGTGGTACCCATTACGCACTTTAAATATGAAATTTGAAATATTTCCCGGCAGATAATGTCGTTAAAATCATGAAAATTGGGAATATCGGGAAGTACCGTTATATGGGGGCTATACGAAAACGTGGACCGACATGGCCCATTTAACCTGCCTACTGATAAACTATTTATTAATTTGGCTTTCTATCTCAATTCGTTCGAAAGGTAGCGTGATAGGCGGACATCGCTAGATCGTCTTAGAATTTTACGCTGATTCATAATATATGTACTTTGTAGGGTCTATTATGAATATTTCGAGGAGTTGCGAATGGAATGACCAAACTAATATACCCTCCATAGGCAGGAACAGGAATGAATTTTTTTCGAGCTATGCAATGATATAGTACCATGGCATCAATTACATATGCAAAGCTGAATTTATTTGGAACGATAGGTAGATTGACGTTCTAAATTAAATTGTAAAAATGTCGAATGAAAAAAAATTCTTCTCCTTCTTCTTAAATCAAATAAATTTCCATACGCTCGACCAATTATTTATTGCGTTTTTCTGGGACTTATTCCCGTAACCTCGATTAACTGGGAACTATAAACGAGATAAATTTAAATTAAATTTATACTATTAATTAAATAGGAATACTTACTCCTATACATCCTATCATAAGGAATTTGACATATTAGAGCTATTGTAAGTACCGTAATTTTAAACCACAATTTCATTTTTACAGGTGATAATGAGAAACTAAATGGTTGTTATTAAAACAGGTAGAAAATACTAGGTCATATATTCATTATTACGAGTATTACACGCTTTTGAATTTGTTAAATTAATTCATAGACATGGTTATAGAGCTATTAGGGAAAATAAACGATTATTTAAATAAATGTTTGAGAATAGAGAAAAACATTTTTTCTTTGAAATATTTTGCCAACAAATGCATTAGGCAATATGTTTTGTTCTTTTTGAGTTCGGGAGACAAATAAAGAAAATATATATTTTTTCTGTATGTATCTTAATATTTATACTTATACCTGTAAAAAAAATAACTTATGAATTACATATGCTTAAATATCTAGGAGTTACTTTCCTAGCCTCTGAATAAGTTAAAGCAACTGGTTTTTGTCTACAGGATTCTTGATACTGCAAATGGGATATATGTGTCCACGCTATAATGTATTTTCTATATACGGTACTGGTCGATTTGAAGTATTTTGGAGGAATTATCCGTGTTTATCAATGCACGTGCAAAAAGTCAACATTCTCAAGATGGCATTATATAGCTAAAACGATAGATTATAAATATTTTAAAATGTTTATCCATACAACTTTATTGAATGAAAGCAAAATAGCATCAAATTTTAGAATAAGTTGAGATTTGTTCACCTTTGGCACGAATTATGGTCTTCAAACGGTCAATGAAACCATCACACGCAGCCCGAATATTGCTCTGTGGTATTTTGGCCCATTCCCGGTGAAGCGTTTGCTTGAGGTGATCGACACTTTGGTATTTATACCCTACAACACTTTGTGTTGGGGGTATTATAAGTTTGATTGGCCAAAAATTATGTAACGCCATGTTAATTTGTAATCACTCTACAGGTCGCAATTATGGCCCGATCTTAACGAAATTTAAAATGTAGGTGGGGTTAATGTCAGAATAGAACCCTACTTCTTTTGGAGATGATCGCAAAATATATAGGGGTTGAAATGGACCAAAAACTGAACAATTTCCTGATTTTGCAGTTGCACTACAGGCCACAATTATAGACCAATCGAAGCGAAAGTTAGCATGGGGCTAGAGCTTTGGGCTGGGCAGAAGCCTTCCAATTTTGATGGTCATCGGGTAACATTTAGTGTTCGAAATAGACCATAGCATTTGTGATAAATAAAAGTCAAATTTTCCATTAAACCGCGAATATTTTTAATCCTGGCGAAATTACAAATAAACAAACAGATCAATTCCGAATGTTACGTAGAAGCCGATAGTAAATATATCGGATATATATAGCGAAATATATACAATGTGTATATAAAAAGGAAGGGGATGCTAGCTAGAATGCTTATATCTTCAGAATGGCTGGAGCGATTTTGACAAATTTTTTAAAATTAGAATGCCCTTTTGGCATAAATGTATAAAATCTAAAAAAATCGCATAAAAAGATGCCAATAATGATGTTAATTTAGATTTTGTAGTATTTTGTGACATTTTTTTACATTTTCATATTTTTTATCGCATGCGATTTTTTCAATTTGACTTATAATATTTTGTAATATTTTTTCACCTTTCAACACAGATTGGGGATATTATTTAAGTATTGCAAATATCGTCCGATCCTCACGAACATTTTCACAAGGGTAGGGTTGGGCTCAGAGGTGCTAGGCCTATTGTTTTCAAAGATGTCTGCAATATATAAGGGGGTTGAAATGGACCAACAACTAAAAATTTTCCTGATTTTGCAGCCGTTATAAAGGTCACAAATATAAACCAAAGGACACGAAATCTCGCATAATGTTAGAGTTAGAACAGCGGGTACAATGGACCACTAATTTTGTGTGAAAAAATACCAGCATTACTTACAGGCGATATCCGAAATACACAAAAAGGGAATTTCTGGCAATCGACACGCCTGTGAAGAGAGTTAAGGACAGGGGAGAATTCTAGCATTTTGGATGACCATTGGATTACATTTATCTGTAAAATGGACTACAACAACTAACAGCACGACGGAGTGCATAAATGTTGGGTAAATGTCCCTAGTCAAAATCCTAATTTTAAAAGAGAAATCTCTTATATTGGTTTTGACATAAGGGGGCTTCTAACATATTGTAGTGTTGTAGGGTATAACATAGTCGGCCCCGCACGACTATAGCCTTTTCTTACTTGTTTTTTATTGCCACTTTGCATTCCAAAATACCCCAGAGACAATAGTCCAACGGATTGGTATCCGGAGATTTTGGTGCCCCATTGTGCGCTGAAAATGAAGCGAGGAAGCTCGCTTTGTAACCATTTTTGGGTGGCGCGTGCTGAGTGCGATAGTGCTGAATTCTGTTGACCAAAATGTTTGCGTGCCCAAGGCTTTAATACACCCTCTAGAATATTTTCGCGATAACATTCGGCATTTATTAATACGAGCGGAGAGCGACCATCGACTGTTATGGCGGCCCACACCAGTACCATGGCCGGCGCTTGAGTTCCGATGGCCTCTTTGGCAAGTAAACACGATCATTTTGTTTGTTTAAAAACTGCTGGACAACGAATTTCTCATCGGAGAAACCCAAATTCGGCAGTTCACCACTTTCGGCCAAATGAAGCAACCTTTAGCTCTATTGCGTTTATTTTCTTTACGTTGCGGTGTGAGTTCTTGCACTTTTTGGAATTTCAATGGCTTTACCCCGAGCTCATGTTTCAATATTTGTCGAATGGAATATTGCGATATATTCAGCTCACGCGCAATTTTTCGACCACTGCGACGCGGGTTTCGATCAAGCCACTTCTTTACTATTCAAACCATTTCTGCTGTTGTTGCCGTTTTCTTCCGTCCACTTCCTTGACGTCGGGCTACGCTACCAGTATTACGGTAACGAGTACTCTAACGATACCTACTTGTGGTTTTCCAGCCAAATATAAAGAAATCACAATATCACGCTTGAATTCCATCACGAATAACTTTTTTCTGGAAAATTCTCACTATCTAATGAGCTGTCACTGGAATAATTTTAACAGCTATCGGACGAGTGGCTTAGAATAGACAGCAGTCTGGAGTTGGTTGCAGTTTTTCATCTCACCCTGTATTTAAAATTTTTCTATGTCTCTTTTTTTAAGAAGTGCGATTTTTATATTCTTGATTTTGCCGGGAGATGAGTTCCAGCTTTTATTATATTCGCGGTTACAAACAACTTCCACTTAACTCGGTGACCATCCACCTCTATTCTTTTTAATTTTGTTTGAAATGATAGGCTTTTGTCCATTCTTTTTCTGTGAAAAAATCCGTCGATTACTCTATATTTGTACGACTAAAAGACAACAACAAATCCGGGAATCTTTTATTTTTTTCTGATCCCAGCCAGGGTAGCTTAATATTTCATTGTTGGGATTGGACTACAACTGTGACGCGTTGAGTTATTACAAATTACTATGGATTACTATGGACGGATGGATACAAAAAGCTAAATCGACTCATTTATCTGAATATTGCAAACTTTTTGGCATGGAATAAAAATAACTAATGTACTTTCAATCTGCTGCAAGTATATATTTTATAAAATGTTTAAATATAAGAATACAGAGATGTCATATTCAAAAATATTTATTTGCGAGATGGACCGCCCTGGTTACGTGGGAACTGCAAAAAATAAAAAAAATATATACATAATTTTGTTTAAAATATGAAACCCACATGGAAACTTACTCCTAAACAGGCTTCACCTGAGCCATACATAAGGGCGAGCACGGCAAAACCCATAACAGCTGTTAGGAATTTCATTTTGAATTTAATTCGAAATACGAAGGGAACCTGTTGACAAAATGTTACAGAATGATTTCAATCTTTGAAAATCCCTATATTTATACGATTCGACAGTGATGACCTTAGACAAATTTGAATAAATTAGTTTCAATAATAACTTTCGTAGTATTCAAGATCATGACAGGTAATAATTCAATTAGTTCTTTTATTTTTGTTTGAAATAATCTATTTTTAAGTATTCTGCATTTCTTTATTGTTCTATAACTCTTATTTAGTGTTTAAAAATGCAATATTTTATTATTGCAGAATTTAATCTTAAAGAAGTTTAGCCTTTTAAGCTTTGAATAGAACAATAAGCCAATTGATGTTAAATTGTTGCAGAAACACTTTCATAAATTTACATTTAAACTTGAATTTGTATCTCATTAAGATTAAGTGACTTCATTAACTTTTTTATAAAATAAGTCACAACTAGGTCTTCAAGTATAATTTAACATTTAAAAGTATTTCCTTTTACCACAATGAAATTAATGAATAGTATCCTGGGTCTTGCTGTCCTTGCTTTGGTGTGTGACTTTGGAGAGGCTGCCTCTGTAAGTACCTCTTCTTTGAAACTAAATTAATTGTCTGGACTATAATTGTTACCCTTCATTTCTGGTAGTGCTCACCACAAACGAGGGCACAGGGATTATGCAGAACTACACCACCATTTTTAGGAAAGTGAAAAACTAGTAAAATAAAATTTTTTGAATTTACTGTCTGCATAATTACTGTGGCACACTGTAAAGAAAATTAAAATAAATTTTGAAAACACCAATCCACTTTTTTAGCATAGAAGAACAAGACCTTTGATTTGTTAAGTTTTTTACCCTCCACCATACATAGTGTTAAAACGCCGAATGCGTCGAGCAGTGGACCGTAGGGGGGAAATATAAAAAGAAATAAAACACAAGAGTTTTTATAATATATGTAACTATTTATTGCTAGTTTAGTTGGTGGTAACGATATTACCTGTGGCAACAATATGCCCTTCTATGCACAACGATATGTGCAGCAAACGATATTGCCGGTGTTGTCTGTCCGGATGACAGCGAAATACTACTTGATGTCTAAAGGATGCGGCAAAACAGGTGACAAATAATTAGTAGTTAAAATGTCAAAGGCCCTAGCACAAGGTTGCAATAAACCGTAGCGCGTACATTTTAACCACTAATTAAGGACCAAACCAGGGGTCAATAAATTGCAATATTTTATGCAATATTTCGTCATTCCGTTTGTAACTCATCGAAATAATCAATTTAGACCCAACAAAGTATATATATTCTTGATCAGCGTAAAATTCTAAGACGATTTAGCCCTGTCCGTCCGTCTGTCCGTCTGTTGTAATCACGCTACAGTCTAAACGAATTAAAATAGGAAGCTAAAATTTTGCACAGATCTCTCTTTTGTCTGCAGGCAGGTCAAGTTCAAAGATATCAATGAAATTGTCTGAAAATTCACACAAGTAGTTCCTTGTGAATACTTTACCCCCTGAGAGAGAATTATCTATATAGTTCTACTTCGTTTTTGCAAAATGGTCTGGCTTTATCCCTTTATTGTTGTTTTTATAAAAACAACGTTTGTTTATTAGTGGAGAACGATGGTAATGTTTACCAGGGGGTAAGGCAGGGAATACCTAGGTTTCGGAAAGAGCCACCAATCCTCATCAGTTCCCTTGTTTTTGCCTGGGATATTCTCCCCAGAAGTTATTTTAAAAATAACTTCTATGACGAAAAACATTTTTTTTTTTTTTTTTTTTTTTTTTTTTTTTTTTTTTTTTTTTTTTTTTTTTTTTACCCAAGTGACGAGATCGTAAGCTCAATAGAAGAGGAACCAAAGAATTAAATAAAACTAAAATTCTCTTGGAAAGTCTTCTAAATCTTACAACCGCACTTATAAACATTTACATCTTTCTCCACTTGTTATGCTTTCGTTCAGCCTGAACGAAGTAGCATAACCATGTAAGTTGGTTTTGTCTGTTACAACAAAAACCCCTTCGTCGACCGTGCCTTGTCTATTAATAGAACAGTGTGGCTTGTTTGTTCGGGATACCGTAGTATTTCGTTTTTGCAAAATGGTCTGGCTTTATCCCTTTATTGTTGTTTTTATAAAAACAACGTTTGTTTATTAGTGGAGAACGATGGTAATGTTTACCAGGGGGTAAGGCAGGGAATACCTAGGTTTCGGAAAGAGCCACCAATCCTCATCAGTTCCCTTGTTTTTGCCTGGGATATTCTCCCCAGAAGTTATTTTAAAAATAACTTCTATGACGAAAAACATTTTTTTTTTTTTTTTTTTTTTTTTTTTTTTTTTTTTTTTTTTTTTTTTTTTTTTTTTTTTTTTTTTTTTTACCCAAGTGACGAGATCGTAAGCTCAATAGAAGAGGAACCAAAGAATTAAATAAAACTAAAATTCTCTTGGAAAGTCTTCTAAATCTTACAACCGCACTTATAAACATTTACATCTTTCTCCACTTGTTATGCTACTTCGTTCAGGCTGAACGAAAGCATAACAAGTGGAGAAAGATGTAAATGTTTATAAGTGCGGTTGTAAGATTTAGAAGACTTTCCAAGAGAATTTTAGTTTTATTTAATTCTTTGGTTCCTCTTCTATTGAGCTTACGATCTCGTCACTTGGGTAAAAAAAAAAAAAAAAAAAAAAAAAAAAAAAAGTTTTTCGTCATAGAAGTTATTTTTAAAATAACTTCTGGGGAGAATATCCCAGGCAAAAACAAGGGAACTGATGAGGATTGGTGGCTCTTTCCGAAACCTAGGTATTCCCTGCCTTACCCCCTGGTAAACATTACCATCGTTCTCCACTAATAAACAAACGTTGTTTTTATAAAAACAACAATAAAGGGATAAAGCCAGACCATTTTGCAAAAACGAAATACTACGGTATCCCGAACAAACAAGCCACACTGTTCTATATAGTTCTACGATATCGTATAGCCCCCATATAACGGTACCCCCCGGTATTCGGTATTTTGACGATTTTAGCCACATTTTTCAATGGAAGTGTCTGAAAATCCATACAAGGAGTTCCTTATGGGTACTTTATACCTCGGAAGAGAATTACGTATATTGGTCCACGATATCGTAAAATCCCCATACAACGGTATCACCTATATTCGGTATTTTGATAACTTTACCCACATTTTTCAACGGAATTATCTGAAAATCCACACAAGGAGTTCCATGTGGGTACTTTATACCTCAGCACAGAATTATCTATATAGATCCACGATATCGTATATCCACCATATAACTGTACCCCCGATATTCGGTATTTTGATAATTTTACCCACATTTTTCATCGGAATTGTCTGAAAATCCACACAAGGATTTCCTTGTGAGTACTTTACACACTGACATAGATTTGTCTTAATAGGTCCACAATATCATACCCCCATATATCGGCACCTTCCTATATTAGATATTGTAAAGATTTAAAAAAAAATAATGGATTTTATTTTTTGAAAATTGTCTAATTCGTTCCAAATGGTGGAGGGTATTCAAAGTTCAGCCCGGCCGAACTTACTGCTTTTTTACTTGTTTAGTTTACACAATATTTTTTTTTATATGGGACGAACTCTAAATCTAAATAAGATCTACAAAAGATCTTCTATTTCCTGCAGACATAATAAACGTTTTCCGCCTTAAGGCAATTTATCGATGAAACTATAGAAGACCGGTCTCCATCCAAAGAAGTCATTGGTCTGAAGAAATGTTATCTAAACTAAACATTTAGACGGTATTTTATCTATATTTACAGATATATTGTGTTTGATCCAGAGTATGGCCATGCCATATTATTATACCCTCCACCATAGTATAGAGGGTGTACCAATTTTTGATTCCGTTTGTAAAATCTCGAAATATACATTTTAGACCCCACAAAGTATACATATATTTTTAATCAGCATAAAATTCTATGTCGATTTAGCGATGTTCGTCCGTATGTCCGTCTGTTGAAAGCACTCTAGCTTTTGAACAAACTGAAGTAGGCTGATAACATTTTACTCAAATGTGTACTATGTCAGCAGGAATCTTCTTATTGAAAATGGGCCATGTAAGTTCACGTTTTGGTAGCACCCATATAATGGTACATTCCTATTTTCGGTATTTTGGGGATTAAAGCGACATTATTCACCGGAATTGTTTCAAATTTGGTATTTGATGTTCGTAATAGATACTACAGCCTATGACAGAAAATTGTCTGTGCAGGTCCACGTCTTCATATAGCCCCAATATAAAGGTACCTCCCGATATTCGGTATTTTGATGCTTTTAGCGACATTGTTCACCGAAATTGTTTCAAATTTTGTGTTTGAAGTTCATAATGGATGCTACAGCCTATGACAGAAAACTGTCTTTGCAGATCCACGTTTTGGTATAGCCACGGTACCTCCCGATATTCGATATTTTGATGATTTTAGCTACATTATTCACCGATTTTTTTTAAGTTTCGCGTATGAATATTGTAATTGCTTATGACAATAGTTACCTATGCAGGTCCATGTCGTCGTAAAGACCCTAATATAACAGCTAAATTCGGTATTTCTAAGATTTTAACAGGATTTTTAACGGATTTTATTGTTTTTGAGAATTACAAAATTCGTTCGATATGGTGGAGGGTATTCAAAGTTCGGCCCGGTCGAACTTACAGCTTTATTACTTGTTTATCTTGATAGAAATATCATCTTGTCGAATTGTTTGGCCCTGAAGTGACATTGTATAATTCCTTTGATTTTTCTTTTTTGCGGGTATGTTTCCGACACGGGGTATATGGAACTCTACTAGATTATTTTGATTCAAATAAAACACCGTTAATCTATAAAGCTTCCTAACACGTCTTTGATGTTTAGAATTCGAACTCGTTTTTAAATAATTAAAAATAGGTAAAGAAAAAAAAAATGATGTTTTCATTTTCATTCATTTATTATTTCATTTTCTAGAAAATGTCTATTTCTCCAAATCTACCCATTATTTACGTCCATTACGTCCGGGATTTTGTGGGAACTAAAGAAATACATACATTACTATTAAATCTATTATATTGGTTCC